TCAGCCATTTTAGATTCCTCTGTTGAGAATTGTCTACTTAGTTCTGTACCCCACGTTTAAATTGGATTATTTGGTGTTTTGGAGACTAGCTTCTTCAGTTCTTCATATATTTAGGAGATCAGCCCTCTGTCAGATGTGGGGTTGGTGAATATCTTTTCCCAGTCTGTGTGGGCTGCCGTTTTGTCTTGCTGACTGTCTCCTTTGCCTTACTGAAGCTTCTCAGTTTCAGGAGGTCCCATTTATCAATTGTTGGTCTCAGTGTCTGTGCTACTGGTGTAATTGGTACAGTTGGTATCCTGTACCAATTAATTCAAGGGTATTTCCCATTTTGTCTTCTGATAGGTTCCGTGTGGCTGGATTTATGTTGAGGTCTTTGATCCATTTTGACTTAAGTTTTGTGCATGGCGATAGATTTGGATCTATCTGCAGTCTTCTACAGATGGCACATATTTCTTTTTTTAACATTTTTACCTCTTCAATATTGTCCTTAAATTTGAATTAGAAACAAGATTGTTTTACATGACAATCCCAGTTCCCTTGTCCCTCCCATCCTCACCTATCACCCCCCCCCAACTAAAACACTACCTAAAACAATGGCAAGTATTTCTAATCCCAATAATGTCACTAAGAAAATATGTTGCATGTATTTCTAATCTTTTTAATTTACACAAGATGCAGTCCAGTGGTATACAGAGCTTAACCATTAAAATTCCATTGTATATCAACATGACACACTATTGAATCTCTTCCTGTCATGCTTAATTCCTTCTGCAAACAGTAGATTCTTTTCTCACACAATAAACCCTGTTTACTATATTTACTCCCTCCCCTCATACAAGTCCCTTCCAATCTTCCCTGTTGTTGAGATCCACTTGGCTTCTGTCTTTCATTACAAAAGAATGAGGTTGTAAGATGTAACAACAGAACATTAAAAAATAATAAGCTAAAACTTAAATAGGATTTAAGTGATAAACTCCAATGAGTGTTGTGTCATAATTAGTATATCCCTCACAGGATATTTGCATAGTATCCACACGTCCTGTTTGGTTATCTCAGTTCCTCTTGCTTTCTCTGTTTTCCATGGGAAGGACAAGTGTTGAGGGGATTTACTGATTTCACTGTCAAATGGATTATTTCAGATGTTCAGGGTGCCTTCCACTGAACATCATTCATTAAGATATAATAGTTGTTTCCATCCTCAGACAAGTGACTGGGTTTTTATTCACTCCACTCTTCAATCTTTCTCTCAGGGAGCTTACTTGTGGGTTGGAGCATCCATTCATTGATAAAGCATGAGACAAAGTACTTTCACTGCATTCCCTTATCCTGTAAACTAGGAAATAGAGCCCTGCTAATCACAGTTTCATTGGTGTTTTAGGTGAAGTACACATGTAAAGGATTAAAATTATTATGCTATGTACAGAAAAGAGAAAGATGTTCCCCAAACCCCCATGTCTCCAAACAGGGTAAGTAGGTAAATCCACTTTTCTGTATGCAGGTATGGATTAGAGCATCTACTCAATGACTTACTGAGGAGTAATAAGGACAGCACTGGTGCAGTAGCACAAACTCCAGAATCTGAACTACAAACTTCATTTCTCAATTAGGTGGCCAATGGTAATTAAAACATTTAGCAGGACTAATAATTTTCTCAAAGTGAGAAATAAAAGGATTGTATTTGGTGTGGACATTAGTGATCTGTAGTTTTATGCAAATATAGCTAGATCTGCAGATATATCATAGAAGAAAGGAATCTGACACACAGACCAGAAGCAAGGTAGAATTTACTGGTTTACTTTGGTTTGAAAAACCATGGCATTCCAATCATTTTAGTAGGGTTTTCCCCACCATGGAATTTTTGTCCATATCCTTTTTCCCAACACACTTAGAATATCATCCTCTGATGGAACTTGTTTACACCATCCTCAGTTGTTTTCATATAAAAGCTTTTTACTTCACACTTGTGGCCAAATTAGCCAAAGAGGACTTCATCCCTGAGCTCTTAAAGAATGTTGTTGTAACTGAAATCATGGTGCCTCCAGATAGAGAAGCAAATCTACAAAGGTATTTTCAAGCTTGTTTTTTCACCTGAATACAGGGCCTCAGATGTAGAGCCTGAGGGAAGAAAGAGTTCCAGAAGTCTCAATGGCAATGGAGGAGGTATAAGAACTTACTCAAAGTGATTACGGTGACAGCCTCACTCATCAACAAAGCTAGAAGAGCATGTGGACACAGACACATGAGTTAGTTATATATGAGCTGGACACAGTAAGATCTGCATCCACTACACTTATGTCTCGGCAGACATGTGTGTTAGTAAGGTATCTTCTATTGGCTATTGTTATAAGGATCCTGTTTAATCCCTGTCATATATGTGCCGATAACTCTTCTGAGTGTTATTTTAAAACCAAAGACGACTTTCATTATAAAGGAGATGTGAACATTGGTGTATTATTCTCAATTCATTATTACTACACAGCCAGTAAAGTTCCACACACATTTGTGCCATACTATTTCAATGACATTTACTTGCAGTAAGTATCATTGCTCATTAATTGTTTTCACATTTCATGTTATATATGACCTAGGTAATATATATTTTTAAACTTCCATACTTCTAACTTTAATCATGATAAAACCACTTCTAATCCAAAATCTCTTATTTAATTGTATGTTAATGTTAATTACTTTTCTCAAACACGATAAAGTAAGGTTGTTGGTTGTATATTTTTACTGCTTTCCAAATACGATCATTGTAATCTTGTGTTCTCACTTGGCTATACAAGTAGGGGTATAAAAATGTATGTATCTCAAATCTGAAACATTTATATAGGGCTTCTGATCACATCCTTTATTACAGGGTGAAAGTGCATATATGTTTTCAAAGAGGGGATATGCCCTCTCTCTGTGTCTCTTTCTCTTTGCCTCTTTTCAATTGTATCTGAAATTTACATCTTTATCAGATTACAAAACTTACAATCTGTGGGCAGGAATTTTGCTCCGATACACTGGTTTTTGTATGGTCCAAATTTTTAAATGGATTTTACTTTAAGGCCACCATAACAGTTCACATAATATAGTATATGAGTATTAAAATTATACATTGATTTCCAGATTAAGGTAATTTATTTTTAGGAGCAATATGACTCAGTTTATTGGACTGCAAATAGTAAAGATTTCTAAGGCATTTTTTACCACAATATTTTTTCTGTGGCTGTGCACAATCATGACTCAATTAATACATCTGGTGCATTTCAATGGAAAATATAACAAGTATCATAAACTATAATGTCCTCACAGTACTACTAACATGTATGAAATTCTCAAAATACATTATAAATGTGTGCATATTTATATGCATAATTATTTACACACATGCATACAAATATACATTGAAATCTACATTGGGAAAACAGAGAAAACTTGATTTCCACTAGTTTTCCTTGGTTCCCACTATTTTTCTTGTTTTCCACTACTTCTTCTTGTTTCCACTATTGAGGGCTATTATATCCAAGTCCTTTCTAATACATGTATTCCTTCTATTTGTCATTTTATCATGTCTGGCTGTTTACTTGAAGGTTTTTAATTATATTTATCAATTAATTGAGAACTTGAATATAGTGTGTTTTTTTTATATCCATGCCTACCCTATGTCCTGCCATAGTTAATCTTCCACACAAACCTTCCTATTCACCCAAGTTTGAAATTACTTCTTTTTTCCCCACAAAGAGTCCTGTTTATTGTTTTGAGTTACTCATAGAAATACAGGCTTCTCTGAACTGTGGTAAACCTTCCAGAAGTCAAAACTTTGATAATAACTGACTGTCTCAAAACCTATAAAATGCAAAATCTCCAGAGCTAGTGATGAGATGTTACACTTAACTGTTTTCTCCATGCTCAGGTTTTTTAGCATGAGCTTTTGCAGATCTGGTTTCACAAAACTATGCATTTATATGAGCAACTGTTCTGTTCTTTCTGGAAACTTTATTTTGTTGTCATTACCTACAGTCTCTGGAAGGTCATAGAGATTTCTGTGCTGAGTATTGTATGTATGCCTCATCTGGAGCTTAGCATTGCCCAGTGCCTTATTCTCTCCAAAGTTACCAGGTGAAGGTCTCTTAACTTATATCTACCATGAGAAGTTTCTATGACAAGGGTGTAACAATGCTCAGATCTATGGCTTGACAAATACTTTAGTAGGAATCAATATAATTTGTGTCCATTTTGCAGAAAATACTATTATATTCTCTCCTTGAACCTATATCTCACTACTCAAACATTCTTGTTACAAATGACGGTGCCAGGAATAAGTTTCTTCTTGTGGAAAGAGTCCTAAATCCAAACTGAAAATCACTTGATTACTCATGTAGCATTTCTTCTGTGTTTGCATCAGAGAGCATGTCATCTTAGGTCTGTTTTTTCTGCATCTTGCAGGGTTTAGAGGTGAGTTATATAAACCACTTTTTTCTTTCTGGTTTCATGCATAGTGCTTAATGTTCTAAGGTGTTTACCAGAGAATGCTGTACCAATATAGTTTAATACTGCTGACTGGGAGTCCAACCTCCAGCAACATGGTGATTGAAATGAATCCAATGGAGTCAGCTTAAGGTAGTCTATTCTATATGAGGGGTTGTAGAAAAATAAACACTCACACTCTCTCTTAATGGCTTCCTTCTTTAATATTTGTTCTCTCATATTCATTTTCTGTTCTTTCTACTGTATACCTTTTTGGGTACTTCTTATATATCCCAAAAAAGTTTTTTTTTCCAGCGATACACGAATTACAATGTGGTTACATTCAGTTTTTCAAGTGAATGATTACAATGAATAAAAACAAACAGTAAAAAACAGCATGGTTTCCAAATCCCTTACATGATAAATCATTTTACATACTACAAGTGAAAAACAAATTATCCAAAGAACCCACAAACACTCATACTCAAGTACCATGTTGTAGGGTAACTGTGAGGGCAATCAAATTGTTCTTGTCAGATCTTTTACTGGCAGGCTGTATTTGGCAGTTATAAAGAAATGGTCAATCACTTTATTAATTAACTTGAAAGTTAATCTTATGAAGAGTCTTATAAGAATCATAAACCTAAACTTTAACATATCGAAAAGAATCAGTCAGTACTACTTCTCATCAATATTTTCATATGTGCATATTGAGGGCAGAAATGGGTATGAGGAATTAATCATCACCTTTGTTCATTAGCCTAACCTAGCATGGAGAGGTAACAACCATTGGGCTGTATTCTATTTTTGAGCCTAGCCTAATGAGTCACACAGCTCAACCATGTCTTCTTGTGAATGTTAGCTTGTTTTCTGGGGTTATTTATCATAAAAATATTGGCAAGGCATCTGGTCTAACCTGAAGTTATTTTGAAGCTTTGCTTTAGCCAATGGTATGTGACTGCCTTTTTTCAATTTTAAGAGAATGAGAGCCAGCCTAGATCCTGGACTCAGGTGCTTTCTGTTAATAATTAATCTGAGCAGAAGTGAAACAAATCCTGGTATTTACTATTTATTATTCATCAAAACTCTGTACAGGCTATCTTCTTATTAGCAAATTGGACAATATAGTTAGAGAGGAGTCATCTTCTGGACAATCCACTAGTTTAAATGCCCATTAATTCAGGTTGTTTACAATAAATAAACACACCATATTACGGGCAATGGAGATCTCCCCACATGCACTCACACCATGCTAAATACAAGAGAAAGAGAGTTGCAGCCACCAAGTAAAGCACAGCAAAAGCAAAGGACATTATGGAGTCTGTAGTCCTGTGGCCTTGCCTATACTAGATTGGCCCATCACAGTGTTATCCATCTGGTGGGCTGCACCTGGAGCTACAATTGCAACTCACTGCTTCTCTGGCATGGCCAATGGCCATTAAGTCAATAGAAAGCATTTCTTAGCCAATCCACAACTATACTGGGTGATCAGGATCCTAGTGTGGCAAAGAGCTCATCTCAGAATGGACTTTTAAACAACAAATAAAAAATATTCTGGAATAACATATTTCCGGTAAGAAGAACCATTTTCCAGAAGTTGAACTACAAAAGACAAAGCAAGGTTTTTACATTTACAGTCTTTCTGAGAATTATGAGTTTTCATGGAATATGTCTTTGTATTCAAGTTTGTCAAGTGGTACTGACTATTTGCTGAGCTTTTCGGGGTGAATGGCATTTCCATCATCCAGTTGGATGTGCTAGGATCTGGAGTTCTATTAACTTCTGGGGTTCTGGAACATTCACAAACTTGTCTTAGTAAATGAGTTAAAACATAGGCTAATCTTAATTTAGTTTATTATGCATTCCCCAATTGTCATACAAACAAAAAGTGAATTAGGTGGCAAGCCAGTGCTTAAGCAGTGTCAGAGGGGCCAAAGAGAACAGACATTGGTTCTAATCATTTCCCCAACTATGACAAGATTTTCTCTATTGTGTTTGGTCAATTATCATAGAAACAAGAAGTTTCTCCCAAAGCCATACATACTTTCATTTATTTCATAGTAACTCTAAGACTAATTTTGCATGACAATTTCTTGCTGGTGTGGAGTTCCAAGATTCTGGTTGTGTCATATTGGTTTTTCTGTTGTTGAGTGCGTTCTTACATTGTCGTCTTCCCATCCCTTCTTCCAGTGCGTGTAGGTGGGTCTCTCTCTCTCTCTCTCTCTCTCTCTCTCTCTCTCTCTCTCTCTCTCTCTCAGGTGGCAGGCAGAGGGCTCAGGCTCAGGCGGCACATCTGTAATCTAGGGATCATGTGGAGGAGACAGTCTGATAAACAAGAAGCCCTGGAAGTAGTAAATGGAGACATCTAGTCATATTCTATAGAAATAATGCAAGCTTTGTTGGAAGGAAAAGTCAGCCCAGAATTACATGTGGAGACTGTCCTCTGTCATAACATTTAAAATAAAAACATTTTCACACACAGCACCCCCCACACACACACAAGAATGAACAAACAAACACAATAGAGATGTATCATAAATTCACACAGAATAAATATTGCCAAAATGACAACTATTTATATAGTTGAGTTAAATTAACTCACTGATATTCATTAATTAAATTATTACTTACTAAGGCTGAGTATTTTAATCAAGGAATATGTAATTTCCTCTACTGTAGAATGTAAAACCAAGAGAAACACACCAGGAAATACGGTATTTGGTAAGGGCCTTTTTTCATATTCATGGTAAAAACATTTTAGGAGTGTACTAAATACAATAGAAAGTAAAGTGAGCTCTCATGGGCCTGTCAATTAAGAGGATACTAGCTACAGGATTTTATTTCATTCTAACAAGGCAACATAATCTTTTGTTCTCCAGTTACTTCATGGGAAAAATTAAATGTGGACCATATATAAACATTAATATTTGAACTAGAAAAATCACTGGGTTGAGCTGCACCTCGCTGTGATCTATAACTTCCACTACTGTGTGTTCACTCTATTTATTCAGGTATAATTTTAAAAACTATGAGTTTATTCTGGCCCTGCTATTTGCCATTGAGGAGATCAACACACATCCCCATCTTTTACCAAATATATCTCTGGGGTTTGATTTTCATAATGTC